CCGGAAGTGAACCGAGCAGGGGTGAGTACTTATGGGACTACTGTATCAGAGCTATCAATTGCGCTCTGCACTATCTGAGATTGTCTCACTAGTTTTTATTTACCACACCTAATAAAAAAAGAATAACAATTAAAATAGAAAAATGATATATTAAAGAATTTAAAAACAGGTGGCAATGAAGGCCAAATGAAAATAATGCTTGTAATTTAGGCTTTGTGGTAACCGTAATATAAGTGATTTAGACTAGTTAACAAGACTTGTTTGATTGTGTTTAGAAACTGGCAATTTCAAACTATAAACGAATGGAAATAAATATTAGATATCAAGAATTTTAGGCAAGTCTACAGACTGTTACAGAAAATCAGAGATATCTTAAAATGTGTTGTCTTTGTCTCAAAAGTTATGTTTGGATGGGGGTTAGAGAAACTGACTCGTAACAAACAATATCGTCAGTTGGAGAGTTAAAACACCTTGATATCTCGAAAAAGTCTGCATTGATTCTATGGTAGAGCAGGTTAAAAGCATGAACATTTCTTGCGTTTCGCATTTCTTGTCTTATGTCTTACAAACAGAGTTGTCAATAAGCGAAAAACGGTGACTAAAACCTTCGGTGGAGAGGTTTATCAACTTATCAACTCTAAGAAACGAATGTCAAGAAATTTTAGTATGGAAAGTTCTTTAAAAATAGGGCCTGAAGGTGCTTTATGTTTAGAGTTATTTATAATTCTGGTCAGCATTTTTGTTAAATCACAAGAAGACCTTTGCACACGCTAGTTATTCACTCCAGCTATATTTAATAATTGTTACTTTTTCCAGGGTAGATTATCAAGGTCCACGTTTCCACCGCACAAAACAACACCCACGTTCTGCAGACCAGGAAGAGCTTTGAATCTCTCTGACAATACCGCTGCCACACCTACAGCTGCAGAGGGCTCAATTAACAGTTTCATTCGTTCCCAGACCACCCTCATTGCAGATATAATTTCTTCTTCTGTAACTGTTATGACGTCAGTTACATTGTCCCTTATGATTGGCCAGGTTATATGGCCCACACTAGTCCTTAAGCCATCAGCTATGGTGGATGGAGGCCCTGTTGAGAAGAGATGCAAACAGTTTAAATTATTTCTCCTTTATTGGGAGTGAAGTATGGTAGCATCATCTTGAGGGTGTCACAGTTCCTATTCATTAGTGGACTGGACTCCAGAATTAGGTGATCTGGATTTGAGTTCAGTGCGAGGTCTTTGTGTTCTAAGGCAAGCAACTAGGGGTATTTCTTCCTCTTCCTCCCTGGATGGGATGCTTAAGTCCATTGCAGTGTTAACCTCCAGCATCAAATTTTCTGCTAACCATTTATTTCACCTGGTACATGGAGAGAGGCACTGTGAAAGTAAAGCATCTTTTCCAAGATCACAACCCTATGTCCCTGGCCAGGGCTTGAACCCAGACAGCTCGTTCCAGACTTGAGCACACTAACCACAAGGCCACTATGCCTCCACACCCAATCTAGTGACTTAAATTATGTAGCAGGCCACCTAGGCTTGACGTTGTACTTCACATTCTACCATTATCAAAACACTTGCCTGGTAAAGGAATTCTCTCTCTGGCAGCAAATGACTTTGCACAGTCATTGGCATTAAGAGGCTCTGCAGCATAAATCTTGATATCAGGTTTGAGCGATTTGAGTGCGATACAGATTCCACTCAGCATACCACCACCACCAATAGGGACTACTACGGCATCCAAGTTTGGGACCTGCTCAAGAATAATGAGATTACCAGTGCCATAAAATTAACAATTATTATTCCACCAGCACATCTTGGATATGAGATACCCTATACAAGCATTTCACATGCCCAATACGTTTCTAACCTCCCGTAAGCAACCTGTCAAGCCTAGGTGGTCGCTTACAGGAGATGGTCGCTTACGAGAGCTTAGACCATATTGGGTCAAAATCTTACCTTGTTAGCATATGGTAACTGCAGAGTACCCCATCTTTTAAATGTTTTATTCGTCTGAAAAGTCAATTTTGAGAGAAATCCTGTCCTTCCCATTGAAAAATTTTTGTCTTTGTACTACCTAGGAATGCGATATGGTTACAACACCTTATTATTCAATTTCTGCTCTATTATCTGTCAAGTGGTTGCTTATGAGAGGTTAAAAATAACAGAAGATTTCAAACTTTTAGCTCTAAAAGTGGTTGCGGTTGCTTACAAGAGGTGCCAAATATAGTGATTTGACTTGGAAACCTTTGGTATTTTGGAAAACTGGTCGCTGAGGAGTGGTGGTCGCTTATGAGAGCTGGTCGCAACCAGAGGTTCAACTGTATATTTGTTTTTCAACAAAATACAGAATAAACAAACCTGTTCCAGCAATTCCAGACCAATAGAACCCTGGCCAGCTATGATGTCAGGGTGATCAAATGGAGGAATAAGATATGAATTGCTTGTCTCCTTGAGGATCTTCTGAGATGTTGATTCTCTCTCCTTAAATAAAATACATCCACACATCCCCATTAATTTATAATCACACTGGATCCACACAATTGTAGTCAAAAATAACATGAAATTTCCTATGTCTGGTCCTTGTACAAAGGTCTTTTCTCATCCTTAACGATGCTACCAGAGAAGCTAACTGCATACTCTCCTGGCAGGGACTCCCATATGAAAAGGATGAGGGTGCTTGTCAGAAATTTTGGAAAGAACCACTAAGAGGTACCACGATCCTGTTTTGTAGGCGTGGCTTGAAATATTTTTCACCCCTAAGAGGTACCAATTCTAAAACAGCACATTATCCCCTGTCATATCTTTTTCAGTTCAATACCCTAAAAGGTATCGCAAAAACTCCTGCTGTGGACCTTTTGAGGCAGAACACCCTAAGAGGTACGAAAACTGCTTTATTAACCTCTAAAAGGTACAATGGTCATACAGTGGAACCTCGATTTAACGAAGTTGCTGGGGACCGGCCAAATTTGTTCGTTAAATCGAGGGTTCGTTATATCGAAAACCTCGATATAACGAA